CACGTTACATATACTAATGGTCTTGTCTTTTTTAAATGGAGATAAGACAGAATGTAAAGTACAGCAAAGACACGTGCAATTACCAGAACATAGAAAAGCATGCAGCAGCTTAGGGACGTAACTTGCGTCATCGGCATTATTGAGGCCACATAACGTGCGATGCAACTGGTCAGAATCTCAATAGGCCGAAAGGTCGCCTGGGTTTCCGTAGAAAAACGGCTCCAACTAATCGAATGCTTACGTTCTACAGCGGAACAATTAATCCATTGGAAACTGACTGCTTATCTTATAGTTCAGTCTGTGCGTATCGAAATCTTCAAGTTAAGGCACACTTAACGAAAGCCTTTTCTAATGAAAAAAAAAAATAACGAGCCACTTCATACCACTTCAGATAATGCTGCTGGAACTACAAGAAAAGGAAATGTGATGCGTGTAGCGGGTCCTGTTATAACGTCTAAAGGTCTCCTCTGGGAGTCTTTCTCGTTGAACAGGATTGTGTGTTACGGATACGCATGATTTCCGAAATTATCAGATTCATACAATATTGAAATAGATAGCTTCTGTAAAATTTGTAATTTCACTTCACCATCAATTTTCAGCGATGCCTTCTTATGCCAATACGCACTTTAGATTCACGCCTTCAATGATAGCGATGATATAATTAAGACTGAGACAAAGGCCATCGCAATTGGAATGTTCTTTGTACTCCCTAGCTTTTTCGAGACTCCAAACTCAAGCAAATTTCTTCAGAAAAGTTGGAAGAACGACGTCAGTGGGAATCAGTCATGGATAAGGTTATGCAAAAAACCGATAAGAAGATTCGCAGTCTTCGCAAATGAACCATTGCTTTCACTTAGTTACAAGAAGTGTCTGCTGGCAAGTAACCCGCTGTCACAAAAACTATATCTGAGTCTGAAGTACTTTTATCAGGTAGTGTAGGCCATGACGAAACAGTAAATCGGTATAAAGAAAGTCAAGTAATATGATATTCATTTGCACGTAGAGAACTTCGTGAAACGTTCCCGTCACGAAAAGAAGAAATTAACCCAAGGCAATATTTCTTTAGCGGTACGGACCTCACATTTGGGCAATAACATAACACCAGCCGTAGATAGCATAATGCGATCCCTGTACGCCTGTGTTACTGTTTCAGCACAGTTCGCTCTCTCGCTGCGACCAGTGGCGGCATCTAACAAATGTACTTTAGGCCGCTCAAGGTAGGATCCTCCGTCTAGCAGCTTGAATGAAGCTCCAAAGGTCTTTAGGCTTAGGTATCCCCTAGATGTGTTTGTAGGTCATGAAAATTCAGTAAATCCTTCTCAACAAGTGTTCACGAAGTTTTGCACTCTACTCACCATGCATGTTCATGAGGTCTATCGTTAATAGTCTGCTTTATTGCAAATCTAGTCTCAGCTCTAAAAGAAGGCAGACGATACATTCGTCCCATTGCCGTTGACCTCATATTAATGTGGTTAGTGAAAGTCAAGGTCTTCTAGAATTTTCAACAAACCCTGCAGCTGGTCGGAGTTACTCAGTCAGGATGTTATGGCAGATACCGTTACATGTGCTATACGAATACATTTAGTCGCTGTGTAGAAAGTATTGCCAAACGTACCGCCACTAAATCGCGATTTTTTCTAAAGGTGCACCGTTAGATCGGTTGCTGAACACGTTCAATGGAGATCAGCAAGGGTCCGCACTCAGTAAGAACATGCAGGTACTTTTCGATACAATCAATCCTGAGGAGAACGGTCTGGGCTTTTCCCAAACTGATGGAAGGATACCAAAACCGCAAAGGAGAAAAGAAGATCCTTTATTTGAAACCAACAATGTCATGCATGCCGGCTTCATTTTACATACAAGGCTGTGATAAGTAAATTACCACGTGGCAAAGAAGTAAAAAGGGCAGTAACGAGTCTATCGGAAACTTACTGTAAATTGAATCGTCTAACCTGTAGCCATCGAAACCCCTGAGCAATGGAGATGCATTGAACGGTGTAGGAACTAAGTCAAGAATCTGCGAAGGAGTAAAAAAAACCACAAGCCAGCTCGAATCTTCTTTACAAGACTTGAAATTATGAAAGTCTCTATCCAGGCGCTTAGCAGTCTTCCCTTGGAATACCGTAAACAGCGCTGTGTGTCATATACCTATATACCTTCTAAAAATTCGAAACGAATTTCTTTTTATAAACCAATGTAAAGTATGTTTTTTTAATCTAATTTACCAATTATCTTTGAACAATATCTTTTTTATCAAACACTTACGATAATTCAACCTCCCCAACGGTAGCAACGACGGAACTAAATTTGAGACAAACAATTCCTACATCCCTTGTGTATTCGAGTTTTTGAATAGGCTCAGAGCTTACGCAAGTCTACCTATAAAGGGCCGGAGGAGCAATGTGAGCATAACTCAGCCATCAACGTAACTACGCCTGGAAATTGAGAAGCTAAGGGAAATAGGAATAACGACGGCTGTCTTACAATCTAAAATTATATGGCTTCTTCGCATATGTGAAGTCGCACATATGATGACTTGATAATGTTTCAGAATGATTCTACGTGCCAGCATAAATATCAAACATGGTTTTATTAATGCTAAACCACGCGGTAGCATTTGCAGCAGACATTTCATTATTCCAATGAATCTGTCGTGGCAGCTACTCGATTTTTTGCTAATCGCTACAAGTCTAATGTCTTGAGGAGTAAATAAATGCAATTCGAAAACAAGCACTGCATAAAAATGGTGACCAAAACAATAATTACGTTTCTGAAGTTTTAAAGCCTCGTCTGGCGCTGGGGGTTAAAGTCGGAGTAAAACTCGGCCGTTTTTTAATCATGATTGCTTCTTGAATGCTTTAGTCTTTAGTTTTTGAATTCCTAGATATTCTCGCTTTTTCCACTTTCCATGTGCGCTACTATTTTATTAATGTTTCTAGTATCCATCAAGGTTTGCTTCTATTTATTTGACTACTTTTTTTTATCAGATTATAATTGAAAAAGGGCAATTAGACGCATAAGTACAATCGAAGCTAAATTTTTTCCAGGCATATTTTTAACTGAAAATATACATTTCAGTAAAAGGAAATTTGATTATATTAATTGTTATATGCTGCAAGTTGTATTAGGAATCCACCCCTATACCAAGCGAAGTAGTTGATCGTAAGCATGGCTGTACGAGATCAACTATAAATATAACGGGCTGAAAACAAGAATGAAGACATTTCAATTCAACTAGGAAATTACCTTTCCGAACACGTGAGGGATAATTCCGGGCTAAATATAGACGCATTCTCAATTAAAGAATCGGTCCGAACTACGTCGAAAACTTAGTTAAAACGGTTTAGGATATAAGCACAATCAAAAGGTGAGGATACTGAATAAACGTATCGCATAAAAAACGACAAGGATCTTTGGTTATCAAAGTTACTGTATTGACTTGTATCACAAATCAAATTGAGTTTTTTCTAGTGACAGAAATGTTGTATGCGCACCTCGCCTGACATAGCCAGGTGATGTTGGGTTGCAAGTCTGTGGCATGAAGCATTGCCTCCTTGATGGCGCAAGTTGGCTATCTGCTAAAAACTAGTTTCCTACAAAGAAGCATCTGTAAAAGTAACGTTTGCTGACAGGAGACACAGATGATCGCAAAAAAAAGGCTATGCATCAGCGTACACTCCTGCCCAACGAGAGAGAAACAGGAAGAGAAAAAAGGGAAACGTAAAAGGAGATTGGGGGAGAACAAAGAGCTCGTCCCATTATGTTCGACAGATCCAGTAGGTGTCTGGGTTTAAGTCCTTTAAAAATGTTATGTACACGTTTTTCCAAAATCTAGTATCATGAGGACCCATTGGTCAGTAGTACGGAAGGCCTTTAGTGTCTCAATAAGTCTTTCCCTAAGATCCTTGAAAATACACAATCCCAGAAAGTGTTTGACTGGGCCATGAACATTCTTATCGTAATACTTGCAAGCGGCGTGAGGTGGCTTACCTATACGAAACTGATAGCCTGTAAAAAAATCCATGCCCAGTAAACAAGTGTGTCAGGTCGAATGTTAATTATCTTTGTTTTTTTCGTGAGCCACTTTTCACAACCTTAATCAATCCTTTTGTGACTTTGGTTGCACTCACCTGATCCTGCAATCATATATATTGCCATTTTTGCGGCGTTTCTATTTTTTATTATTCTATTCCGATGTTTAGTTGTCTTTTCATGCACCAGTAAATCCCATGAGACTTGCGTGGCGGAACCATTACTGCATCAGAGAAAATAGTTCCAAATGTTCTACTTATCCATAGTGTTATTTGCCTCTGTAACTTCATAAATTTAATAAGGTTTTTCTTTTCACATGTCTTCCTCGATGTAAGTGCGTCGTACAAGGCAATTGAGCTCACCACTGAAACCAGCATACTTCGGCGACCACCGTTAGGTGTGACAAACAGACTACCTAACATTCAAAGATGTTAGGTAGTCTGTTTGTCACATTAATGGTTTTGTTAATAGCATAGTGAGCATGCACCGCCATCGATCCTATTATTTAAATACCTTCTCGTGGTTAAAACTGTATGGCTGCGTAGTATAATGCTTAAATCACCAATCTTGGTGCGTCCGTTTGATATTATTAACTCAGTCTTATCCGGGGTGGTTCGAGGCCAAAGTCGATGACCCAATTAGGTATTATTAAGATTGAATTGAAAAATACCATTACCGCTGCTATGAGCAAACGCCACTACTTTGGTCGAGTATAGATAATACTGATGCCGGATGTCATAATACCCTATGTTCCACAGAAGAGGGCCCAACACTGAAATTTGGGGCTTTCCTTTGGACATGCGATACGTGGTGCCTTCATCTAATTTGAACTTGCGCACAGGTGCCGGTGTTTGACTCACTCAAAACTCGAATTAACACTGCGTAGCATAAGTTCATATAGTTTATGACGAATGAATAATAATGATCTTTGACCTAGCTAGATGAGTATTAAATGATTATGGAACAGCATTCTTTGAAAATCAATAATTTTTTTTATAGCTTTATTAAGTGACTGACTTCCTTGCACAAAGTCCTTAGTGGCTTATTTAGCCATGCCGTTGACCCGTATACTTCCTCGTCGTGGAGTCCATTTGAGATAACAATACGGATACCTTTGACTAATAGTTATTATGCACAAAGCATATTCAGCAATATACTACATGTTACCTGGGATTTGGATACCCAAAACTTTCGGCACAATTTACTGGTTTGAAACCAAATAAATACTGGCGAACCTAAGATGACATCATTTCTACCCGAACCCTCGGCCAGCCTGCCACTTATCCTAAAAAATGCTGGGTTAAAATACTTCTGTTGAGCATCTAATAAAAATATTTTTTAGCAAGTTTATTTACGCTAAGAGCGAATGTTGCCTGCTGTAGACATGGCGTGGTTCTAAGGAAAAAAACGCGTACACATCTCCTTCTAAACCATATCCGCACATGATGACGAGTCATTATATACATCAAACGTCACCTTAATCGACTATCACGACTCCTTTAATAGATACCTCTTTGCAAGGGGTAACTAGTCTCAAAGAGTGTTAGAATGAGTCCTGATTGACTTCACGTTTAGTTTAATGTAGTTTACGTTTACGTTTAGGTTGTCTCGCTGTGTTTCGAACACCTATGTACACATTTATAACCACGCTTTCATGTCTAAACTAGTAAATAAATATAAAAATCTAATAAATATATTTCTATATACTCGCATATGTAACTGTTAATAAATGGATGAGATACGGTACAAAACGGAATGGGTTTGTTCGGTAGCAGGTACCTGCGTAGACTAGATTATCAAATTTGTTCGGTAATAGGTGCCTGCAGATGGGAGGTGCCCCAATCAAGTTAGCACAAGGGCAACCCATTAAGGACAAATTTATCCTGATGTCCTGCACAAATCGGTTGGAAGTCCTTCACAAAACCATCTTTTAATGGTGTAGAATCGTGTCAAATTTGATAATTCGTCTTAGCCTTAAGCCAAATTAGTCACTGATGAGAACCGGCTCATGACAAAACGTTTCGCGGAGGTTTCAGAATAGCTTAATAATGCAAAACCGTTCGGCAGAACGTCGTGTGTTCACTTATCTTTAGAATGAAGAAAAGCATTGCTTGAATACAACCAATAATTCTGCTAGAATTAAACAACAACTAAGACAGTGAAGCGGTAAACACTACATACATACATACATACATACATATTGTTTTAGCGATCTTTATGAAAAATTAAATGTCTGTAAAACTATGTATATGCTTTCACATAGCGTTTTAATAATAATATTTTACTAATATAACGAACGCATGATGCGCTTAGATTTTTTTCTCGATGATCTTATTATATTTGTTAAGACTTCATTGACTGAGTTCTATGTACTTTAAGCATCTAATAATATCGATCATCATCGTGAGTTGGACTTCGTGGCATCTTTTGCTCCAGAAGTTTTTGTATTACTTCTTGTGTTGAAACATACTTGACTCGGATTTGTCGAAGATATTCAGCTTCTTCGAGCTCTAGTATTTTTATGAAGTTCTCTAATTCGGGCAATGCAAACATCTCCCAATTGATATCAGCGCCATCGTTCTCTTGCAGAAGAAATTGGCGATTTGTGAGTCCTTTTTCCATCCACGTTAAGGTCAACATGAGCGGCTTTTCAAGGTCGTCAAGACGTCGTAGTTTCAGTTTCCCTTCACCCTCCATATAACTCTCATACAACGCGTATTTAAGGGGAGAATCAGCCACCTGCAATAAAATATGTAGGTACATGCGCGCATATTAGATACGAATATGATGCATTTAAAATAAAAATTATTGTTCTGAGTGCATAGCAGGTACTCAGAAGGTTTCCTTAAATTTCTACATATGGTATGTTTACCCGTCAAAAGCGTTATATTAAAACTCTACATTCTACCTAGGTAAGTGGAACATTCATCCAGTCCTATGTCTAGCACGAACTAGTTATATACTTTCTATTGCCATATCTCATAAGTGACACTCTTAGAAGTATACGCGTAGAATATGAATGTATGCCAATACAAAAATAACGGCGACAATAATATATATTGTGACCTTGAACTTTTTGAGCAGGGTGACGATGACCCTCTGCGCGGTCATCTCCGAGTCAACATGAAGGGCTTTCATGGTGTCCATAGGCAGATAGAAAGATGTAAGCGTGCGGCCTTCCGTCAACGTATCGTCCTGTTTAAGAATGTCATAGATCGAAGGCGGTCGTGTTCCCGATATGACGTTAATGGGCCTCATAAGATTCATACAGACGCGAATGAATCCAGTCACCACAAGTGGACTGCTATCCTCAGCAGAAAGGCTCATCTCCAAATCGGGAAAACGCCTTTGAAGAAAAGTACAATGGCAATCACATAAATATATTGTAATGCACAAATATGAGTAAATAAAAAAATATACATTTCGTGGCAAAGGCTATTGATCTCTCGCTACCAATAATTCCGCTAAATGACTCAGTGCCGTTAAGATCATTGAAGCTTTGTTTCGTTCTCCATTTCAACCTATCTCGTACACACGGGTATATTACTATGACCGGCACAAGCGGAAATCATAAACAAGATATGACTGCGAAAGAGACTCAGTCCCCTGGTAACTTAAAAGGTAATAGGCTACTTTAATCGTGCAGTGGTAAATGTATATGAAATCCATTTCACAAGTAATTATTGTTTAATATATATCCATTTGTCGATAGATGAATCACATATGCACTAGATCTTGGTACCGGTGTCAACCAAGTTTTGTGTATCGCCTAAATGTATTAAAAAAAAAGTAAGGATTGACGATGGAGCAAGATGAGTACTCCTCTGCAAAAGAATCCCAAACGTTTTAACGTTAAAGGGAATAAGGTAATTTTAATTAAAGTAATTACAGTAGCTCCTTATAAGTGGCGGATAGATTACGCATATTTATTACTGGTGGACCTAAACAACATTTTTTAGGTTTGAATAATATCGTTTTTATTCGTTTCACGGTTGCAGCATGTATTGGAATGGGCCTGCCCCTTTTCAACAGTAAACGCAATATTTGACTGGGTTCCTTTTAATTTTATTCCATTTTATATAGCCTATGTTGAAAATCTCATTGAGGTTTGCATGAGATTGTCGAAGGTATCAATGAGATTCGAAACGTCTCAATGAGAGATCTAAGTCAACGTAAAAAAACGACTTGCCTATTGTGTTTGTTGATAAGGTGCATGAGCTCCTCCCTGCTGAGGTTGGAGATACTGAGATTCGGTGATGGTGCTCGATCCACATGTTCGATTAACGGTGCTACCGGCGGCTGGGGTTGACAATCAACAGTAATAAATTGCAGGCAGTTTGCGTGGCACGTAAATTTGCACTGCGTGCACTGGACTAATTGACCGAGTGGGCCAACGCACCAAATGAGATCACCGCAACGATCGCACCACGCCGGATGGTCGAGATTCGTCGGCTGAAATTCATGACCCGCTCCTTGGCGTTCGATGTTCTCAATTTCGACGAAGCCAAACGAAGCTAGCTCTATTAATTCGCCGGCTCTTGGACGCTTTTTATTTGGTAGAGACTGATATGGAAACAACGGTAGCGAGAATTCGGACTCCAGAGTGCCGTCCGGCGTCTGAATGTAAGCGTGTCCATTCATTCCGGATAGAAACGAAGGATTAAAGAAAACATCAGATGTTAGAATTATGTGTTCAAGGGTTCTCGTCGTATCAATCAAATGTCTGTACTATAGAGAGGGAAGGTCGATAATGAGAGATGTGAACACTGTACCTTGACGACAACTGAGGTGGAATATATATTCACTTTATGCAAAAAAATTCTATCTGTTTTAATTATTGATGACAAAAATATTTCAGTTTATGCAATGTAATCATATAAGAAATTAACAGTTAAAATTTTGTTTTAAACTGGCTGATAAATTTTAGTTTTTAGTTGATCGAGTTTTATCTCTATCTTTTAATGATCGAGTTGCATTTTTGAGCGGTGAAAATCAGTGGCCAAATAGAACGGCTAGCATAAGCACTCGTCGTTCGATATTTCTCTCAAGGCTCATAACTGTCCGATCGGTTTTTTCTAGGCTTTCCTTAATCGCTAACGTTAGGCATCCGCTTGTGATGGGTGATAAGGTCATTTCTCGCGGTCGACTTACCTTTGAGCCCATTTTTTTGCCGCCCAGCAAAAACGATGAGATATTCTGCCAAAAGAAGTTAGGTAAAAAGTTGAACGAAGACGTTGGTAATCTCTCAGCTGTTGTGCTGCTTCTTCTCAAAGTTCGATCGTCAACTTGGGACCTTTCGAAGATTTTACTGCTTCTGTCACCTTTAGAAATGTCGTCACGAACTGAATCAGCTGATGATGCCATAGCGCTTCTAATTCGCGTAAGATACAGGTATGTATTAGAAACACAACAGCAACCTATTTAGGCAGACCTAGTACATTTACATAAATATCTATAAAGTACTAATGAATTAGTGCAGCGGATCTTAATAGTAACAGGAAAGCTGTGCTTAATCATACTGAATGAGCCTCGTTTCCTTTACTCAATACACATATCACAGGTAGATATAACAAAAAGATCAGGTTCACTGTTTGACAATTATTATCGCTGAGCTTCTCGAATCTCAAACTTGTATTTACAATGGTTTGACGGTATACAATGTGCTGCTTAAGTGATAAGTTACACTGATGAATGTCATTAAACTAAAAACAGATAAAAATATAAGGTGGCAGCATAGATTCCCTGGCGTTAATATGAACTGCGCCCCGAATAACTTCAGACAGCACCATACAATCGATTTTCACGACGTAGATAATCGTTTTTTTCTGATAAAGCATGACAATCCAACGTTAGCTTTTATGTCTGGAGTAAAGTGCCACTTTTAACCCTAGTAGGTTTCTCGATAATTCACTCTCGTATTAAAAATGATTCGAATAGTTTTAAAACGGTAGCTCTCTAAGAACGCTCAATGTTTGGATGGGGGTAGACTAGTATCGTTATTATAAAGTCTACAATATATTCAAAGTCGGGTGCACATCGTTTTCCTTTTTAACACAATGGACGTTTTGAAATGCGCGAAAATCTAAGACTAAATTGGATTCACTGATTCCGTTTTTTATTTGTGCGCATTATTTTTTCGTATATGTATAACTTTGCACCGTTGATTACCGGTTCCATTATGACAGTACGGAACAGCCGGACACATACTTAATGTGTCCGGCTGTTTTAGTCACTAACCAATCTATGCACATGCATCCACGATTCATTTAAACGCGGGACAGTGTGGCACCACGAGATATTTGCGTATTCTAGCGGTAACGGCGGCAGTACGCTCTGCCATGACAAGTGGTTATTAGATATTCGAATACCACGTACAAATTTATTAGTTTGACTTCTTTAGACTTACAGGATGTTCCAGCACTTAAAAGTTGTGGGTCGTCGAGCTCCATTCTTCTAGCTGTTCTCTTTTCTGGTTCACGCTAATTTGGATTAGTTATATGTTTACGTCCGGTAATTTCGACCGTTGGGTGCTGCGTCAGACGGCAACTTAGACTGATTAGCAACGCACTATCAAGCAGGCACTCTTCAGTTTACATTGACTAAGTAATTTTTGCAGCAACACATAGTGACGCGGCATACACTCAAATATTCGCCGATGCTTATGTTCGGCTATAGCATCGGGAACTATCAGTCACACTTGTTCCTGTAATTCCGACAGCGGTTTCTTTTTTCTACTCTAGCGGCTCCGTACTACGCCATCCTAGGTTCGTGCATCATGATGTAAGTTTAGAAGTAGCAGTTACTATTGACGTTCACACCGCAGCAACCAATTTACTCTTTGTTTAATTTTTGGTTAAGTTAGTATACAGACGGCACCAGCCAGAACATCGTGAATTAGTGTTTGGCATCGCCGTCTATTTGTCTAGCCGTATGCATCCATGTGAGTGCGACTTACGGTGCCTGGCCGATGATTTGAGCCAGTGCAGATCTCAGGACTATCAGCTGAGTGAACAACCAAACACTCGCCATATTACTCCTTCGCTCGCTTCGAGGCGCCGGGCGCTATAGCGGGTCAGACACAGCCCCGCTGGGGAACTTAGACACAAAATCACACACAGGCGCAGTGATATACTGCTAGCAAACCACGACTGAGGCAGGGACGACACTAACAGCAGCGACCGCAATCGTCGACTGCCTCCATCAGTGTGCTTTTCCTTATGGCGACCTCCCTCTACCTGAAATACTGTGCGGGTGCATATGAGCTACTCTGACGTAAAAGCGCGCGAACGGGCAAGCAAACATTCACCAGGCTTGTTTTGTGCTGGTACATTTGTTGAGTTTTGTTGAATCGTCCTACTAGCGTCGACAGGAGGCAGTAAGGTCAGCAGGCCTGACCCGACAGTCGCTAAATCCAGAAAAGTAACTTTTTGACAATTAGTAGTAGATTCTTTCAGAGAACGAGATAAAGCTAAAGGAAAAGAGATAAGACGCAGACAATATCAAGATTAATATGGTTGACACACACGCACACACACACATATGGAAGCACATGCATTCTGCAGAATTTGCGATTGACGAACTGCGGATCATGCTTGTCGAGTGATGATTCGTTGATTAGTTGAAGGTAAATTGGTGCATGAAAAGGCCATTTTACTTTTTTAATTATTAGGCACACACACACACACGTTTGATACAGCGCCGACCAATAGCAAGCTGCATAACCAGTTGCTGCTGGTGATCACTTTTCTCGGCACGCTAAATAATGATTGACCAGAACAGCTGCTCTCAACAACTCAAGAATAATAACGACAAGCACCACCGAACGTGGGGTTGACACTAGCGACCTTGTCTGTGTGCATTGCGGCCGCCTAACAACGTTGTTGTTGATGATCTCCTCTGTCCTGATATGTTGTTTGAAGACAACCTGCAACCCGACTGTTATATTATGTATTGTAGCAGCAAGGGGTGAAATTGCGCACCGCTAGACCGCACTATCGATCAAAATTATATGCATGGCCGTGTGTGCGTCTCTATCGCGTGCTGGTGACTGCACTATCGCATAAGAAGTGCTATGAGTGAATTTATAAGTAACCTAAAAGGACGAGTTGTTTGA